GCAGGACTCTGAGAGTTCAGCTCTCTGGAGCTCATTCAAGAAATTAGTTTTGATATTTCAATCGCTTAACAGCAAACTCTCTGCTGGCAGTTGTCAAGACGGCTAAACAATCTATTTCATCTTTTTTTTTCAAGTTTTACTTTATTTTTAATTATTTAAAAATAAAAACTATGAGTGCACAATAATTCTATAAAAGCTAAACATTTAGTGAAATAACATTATTTAGTGGGGAACAAATAAAAGTGAAGTGTAGGACTAAATCTGGTAAAATGTTACACATTGCTCTTTGTATTGTTGTAAAATACATTCATGAAAAACAAGTAGCCTAACTATATTTATATATAAATATAGACTATAAAATGAAAAGACATTTCTTTTAAATTATAGCACAGTAATGAAGGCAGCAACATATGATAGATAGCACGGAACAAGAAACGCTATAAATAATCTTTCATTGAGCAAAAGTATTATAATACGAAAGGCTCCAACACAGAGCGTCACAAAGCGCTTATGTGCATCTCGAGTGCAGAATGATGAGCTTGAAGCAACCCGGAGTCACAGCGCTCCGCACAGAGAAGTTCACAGCACAAGAGATACTGATGCGTAGTTTATTAAATCTGTGCGCTAGTTTATTGAGCCTTGTCTTTTAACAGTTTTAAATCTCAGTTACTGAGCGCTCTTGAAGAGAGTTTCATCGCCTTGACTGTCGTAACCGAACACGACACACAGCTTGAACACTGAATGGAGGATGACAGACAGCTGCAGCGGAGAGAAGAGTTTACGAGAACTTGAATTTAACGACTTCAATATTCATCTGTACCTCACATTAAACCATGGAACAGCTTCAGAACACTTGGACTTTTACTTTATGGTGCTTTATAATGCGTTTGTGCTTTCGTGGGGCTTAACAATAACACAGAATAGTATACGCAGAATATGGGATTTGGATTGGTCTCGTCTGACTGATACCCGATCCAGCAGAAAATGCCAGTATCAGAGCCAATAAATCCTTGTTTTTGAATAAATCAAGTAATCAATGATTCAGTAACCCATTCATATAGTCAGTCACTTGCCTCAATTCTGGAACAGGGCTCTAGACTGTGACCAAAACGGTCAGATTTGCGACAATTTTTTGAGAATGTGCGAGTCCAAATTTGTGCGAGAGCACTGGTCTGCTCTGCTCCATACAGCGAGCAGGACTCAGATTTCACTGATCACGAGAAGAGAGCTGCTTTCAGTGCGAGCGCTTCGACTGTAGAGCCTGGTTTATACTCACCACCTCAGCACCAGCGCAAAGGTGCGTGCATAATGACGCCAATATAGTCACACTAAAGTAAAGTAAAAGACCGCTTCTTAAACCAGAGAAGGTGAACATGTTGGTATTCTTGTGGAAAAAACATGCAAGCACTGTCACCGACAGCAAGTTTAAAGGGGTCATATGATGCAATTTCAAGTTTTCCTTTCTCTTTGGAGTGTTACAAGCTGTTCGTGAATAGATAAGATCCCTAAAGTTGCAAAGACTAAAGTCTCAAACCCAAAGAGATATTCTTTATA